GAGACCATGGAATATATTCAAAACTCTATGCTTGAGACACCATTTTCCCACAACTCGTGCTCCCTCCACACTCGAAGTGACTGCAGATATCCATCCTCCTTCTACTCATATTCCCCCTACTTCCCTTCTCCTACTCCCTCCCAACACAACCTATCCCCCTCAACTCCGTCTACTACCGATATCCATCCTCCTTCTCTCTCTTATTCCTCCTACAACCCTTCTGCCTACTCCCTCCCAACATGACCCATTCCCATCAACTCCAACTACTGCCGATATCCATCCTCCCAACACCATTGACTCCCTCCCAGCACAACCTATCCCTCTCAACTCAGTCTAATACAGATATCCATCCTCCTCCTACTCATATTCCTAACACAACCTATCCCCCTCAACTCTGTCTACTATATCCATCCTCCTCCTACTCATATTCCTCGCCTACTCCCTCCCAACATAACCCATTCCCCTCAACTCCAACTACCCCTCAAATCCATCCTCCTCTTACTTATATTCCCCCTAAAACACTTCCTCCTACTCCCTCCCAATACAACCCACCCCTCTCAACTCCAACCCATTCCCTCTATCATTTCCACTCCCTCCTGGATACAAACATGAAACCCTTATGTAATTCCCTTACCTAGACCCACCACAGCCCATTCACACATCAACTCCTTAACCCATCTTTAACCTTTCAAGATTACTCTAGATAGTTGACACATCACTATCACCTTTCACCCCTCCTTTAATATACTTTCCTATAGTGCTGTATGACCTTTGATCACTAGCACATTTATTTTGATTTTTTAACCATTAACCATTAATCTCATCAAAATAAGTTTAATAAAACTGTTATGCACTAATATATAATAAGCTCTTTGACCCTGTTCAGTGAATGTCCTGTTTTCAGATTCATTATTTACTAGTTTTCAATAGTTTAATGATGTTAATAATTATAGGACAAGAACACTTTATGGAAATATTCTAATTTTTTTATATGTAAGAGATACTGTAGGTGTAGCTTAACGCAACAACAAAATTTCCATGTTGCTCCATGCCCCCAAGAAAGTACCCAATGGCCTCCAAGTTGGGAACCCCAGCAATACAAGAAAAGTCAACTTGTTTCCACATTTACTGAAGCAGATGAACAGATAATAATAACTCTATGATGATGGGGCTTGATTTATTTGTGATGTAATATTATGCAACACTTTAGACTCTATGGCTAGGGCTAAGTTGTGTATAGCCGGCATGCCCGCTGCAAGTCATGACCCTATACACATCATAGGCCATGGTGTAATGACAGTTATAGTCATTACCTCATAGACTATAAAGTTTCAACTAATTTCAACTTGTTGAATGACATGCTGAGAAGTGGAAAGCACACTATACTAAAAATAGGTAATTTGAATTAACACTCTGGGATACTTGTGAACTAACATTTAAAAAAACATGCCTTTCCTTTCTAGATTTTGCTAACCTTCTGACATGTCCAGGGACCTTTCATAGGAAAGAGAAAACAAACATATAAACAAAAATAATTCTTGCTAGCTTGACTTCTGTCTAATATCTAAATGGTAATTGTAAATCTTAATAGTGATTATGATTCTATTTTTATATTTTTTCTCTTCCACTTAAGAACCCTCCTCGTCACTCTTATTCTTGGGCACTACAATTAAGTTTGTGGACATTACAGGTATGGGGATACAAAAAGGGAATTCTCTTCTTTCTCACATCCTTCAAGCAACCTTTTCTTTCTACTGCATTTTTCTGTAGTTTCTCTTTCTGTCTCTTCATGTTGGAAAGTAAGCCTTCATACTCTTTATCATCTTCAATCTCTACTTTAAGCATCATCTTCCTTAAGTCCTTCCTCCATATTTTCTTCCTTATTTCTTCCACTATATTGAACTAGGTAAATTCATCACCTATGATGACCCTTTCTCCTGGATTTTTTTCTCCTTTTAACACGACTTTCCTGACTTACCCACTACACTTCTTATAGGTTTACCAACAGCTGTTTACCAACAGCTGTAGCTCCACAGATGTTTCCAAACTCTGATGCAAGAGATACACTATGACTTGGCACAACTCTTGATGTTGACTTGCTGTTGGGGTTGTATAGGAGTGGATGTTTATTAGGTTGTAAGCCCAGAAGATTGATCTGCTGGTCTGTTGTTGGGAGTGACTGGCTTTTGGGATGATAAAGGTGCTGGGCTTCATGTATTTTACTCTCTGATCTATCATGAAAAGGGTAGGGCTGAATGCTGCTGATGTCTACCAAGAGACACCTATTTTTTGATGGGGAGACAATTCTTCCTGATTTTGTAAAGAAGTTCCATGAAAACACTTTTGCTTATATGCCAGTTTCCTCTCTATAGGATTTAAAGGTGGTCTATATTTAACACACTGCTGAGATAACCAAATTATAAACACAATTACAAAAAAATTAAATGAGGTAAAACATTTCTAACTTTTTTTCAAGTAGAGAGAAAAATCTCTGCATGCTCAAATTTACAAAGAAATGCTGTTATTTCATTATGAATCATAATATTTGTCAAATCTGATGCAAAGTTCAAGTTTATTTTGCTTAGATTTTCATTACTTTGCTTTGGTAAGAAAAAGCATTTCTCTCAGCAAACAAATTTCCTAATAATTGCATTAGGAAGCTTCCTCTCTTATATACACTGAATGAGTAACTTTTTAGAAATATACTTGCAACCTAAGCAAACAAATGATTAAAAATTTCAAGAAATTACTCCTGTAAAGAAAAATGACTCTAAAGCATGACCATACACCCAAAAAGTAATTAAGCATTAGTTATACATTTAACTCCTCAGTGATAGATACAGCTAGACTTGTCATGACGGAACACCTATGACATGTTTCCGCATCATGCCTTGCAGCAAGTGAGCCAGCTGTACACAGCTTACGCCTAGAGACAAAGTCTAGACTGTTACATATTATTACATCACAAATAAATCAGGCCATCATTATAGGGTTAAAAAATGTCACATTTCATGTGACAAAATCATCTGATAATCAGGTAACCCTAGATCACTACTGTTTATCTAACTTCATCAAATTAATCCAATATTTTCACACAGGAAAATATCTAAATCTTTATACAAAATAAATCCATATTTCAGCACAGACTCACTTTTTCAAACTGGGCAAAAATAACACCCCAAGAAAGGCACAAGAAAAAACTCATAAAACTGTGTTGCCAGAAAAGTAGATATTCATAGATCTTCTTGAGTAATAAGAACAAGGAAAACACAAGATATTGTCTGTGTACGAGTTTTATTTTCTGCACGTTAGATGTGGGACGAAGTAAAAATTATAATAAACAGATGATCGGACTAAAACACAAACTCTCGAAATCACAAATTATCATGATTGATGACACTCTATTGTGAAATGGAATCTTTTCTGAATATCAATAATCCAATCATGGGCTTTCTTTTCTCCTACACATAATATTCACGGAACAGTGTGAAGGACAAGGTGAAAACTATGTCATACAAATTGAGTATATCCACAATAACGATAAATGAGCTTATTCTTCTTCCGGTTCAAGATTGATATTATTGCCAAATTTTCCATACAAGTCGCCTTTGAGCTGTGTCATGGTCTCCTGAAGCTCTCCTGCTCGGGTGTTGAGACCCGCAATCTCCTCCTGGAGGACCTCCCGCTGTGCAGCTATGGCCTCCTGGGCTTCATCCTGGCAAAGATGACATTACATTATATTATTTTGTGTGAACTTGGACCAGAGAGAAAATATGAGAAATTTTAAGAAATAAAATATATATGCATATGAAAGATCGATCTTGAAACTTAGTAAGGATATCTTTTTTCAACTACAGTATCTTGCAAACTAATCATCTTCAAATCTAGTATTTATTTGTCTTTTCTTTATATCACTTATATCCCCTTTAAAAAATTAGTTCAGCACATATATTGATGGCATGTGCATCCAAAGAACCAATTTCTCAAAAATGTTCATTAAATATTTTCACCTACACCATAAGCACAGATATGCACCTACAGGCCAACAGCCTGATTATGCCAAAAGTAAACTTTTGGCAGCCTGATTTTTGGGTAACTGGTCTGAAAACACCTTTAGATACACATACCCTCATATATACAGAACAAACACGGTAACATGTCTCCAGAACAGTTCACTTACTTGGGATTTCATAATGAACACCTCACCCACCATATAAGGAACCTTCTCATCACCATCTAATGCGATCATAATTTCATCTTCAGCATCTTGTAAATTCTGTAATTCATTCTGAAGAAAAGAAAATAGTACCACTTAATACAGGGAATTTACTAGCTATTGTTCACGTTGGTAAATAGCTATTCTTATTTACTAGGCTATTTACATTGGTAAATAGGTGACATATATTGTAGTTCCATCAAATCAGTAACTAGTTTAGAATGATTCTATGCTTACATCTGATATTGTGCACTAACTATTGTGCACAGAAGGAATAATAAAAAAATCTTGCATATATTTGTCTATAATTTTGACTAAACATGTCATTACTAAATAGCAATTATTTTTTGTAACAGCTATATATGACTGCTAAAGGGACTTAGAGAAGAGGAGGGAAGAATTCTGAAAATCATTGGAAATTCTCATGTGAAAACAATGGCATTAGGCAGTTAGTGATGTATACCAATAGGCTGTTAGTCTAAATACCTATATGTATTTTTTTTTTCTTTTTTTTTTTAATACTGTCTTTAAAATTCCCTTACATGGTCCTATCAGCTATAAAGACTTCAATTAACAATTTCACAATATAAATATGTTCAATGTTGAAGGAAACTTTTTTTTTTCTACATCAGGTTACATCTCTACAAATTTGTATACACTAACATATCAGTACCTCTTTCATTTTTAGTTCCTCCTTTACGTCTCCATGGCGAGCATTGCACCGTGCAAATTTGTTTATTTTCTGTTGGTCATCGTACGTGATGTGTACATCTGAGTCCTGCAAAAGAAAGCAATATTAATAGAAATTAAATCAAATAACTAACCAGTAATCAAATATCATAATTCAAATCTGTGCATATTTTATAAAAATTTGAAATCCATAACGGATAACAATACCACATGTAGCTAAAGTGGAAATTTTCATGACTTGTCAATAATTTGATACATCAACAGCAAGAAAGTACATATGGATATCGTTCTGAATATGCCCGAGACATCTAATAACGCCTTAAGATTCACAACTATTGAAGAAGCCTCTTGATGATGATATTAAAGAACCAAAAGAAAATATATAAAAATAGAAAAATAAAACAAAAGTATATAAAAATTATAACACATAAATAAATAAATATTGCAGAGTAGGTATTACATATTATTTATAAATCATCAAAGGATCCAAATACAGAAGAGACACTGATCTTGCTTTAAGTTAAGATTTTCCTACCAATTAATGAAATATGACAACATGTCATCTATAGAAAATATGAAAAAATACGGAATGTTTATTAAAACCTTTGCTTTCTTACAAGCAAATTAAGTTGCAAATGGTTCACAATACACATTATACTTTACATTATATTCTACTGAAATTCTAATAGCATATTCTGAAATTCACCTTTGTAATGTTAAAATCAGATGATAAAACAAAAATTAGTACAAGGGGGGGGGGGGAGAAAGAGAAAGAGATATATTCATACTCCCCCCCACACACACACACAGATATATATAATTTAATAGAATATTCCACAATAAAACATGAATCAAGAAATATGAAAAAGTCTTTAATTTTATGAAAATTAATATCAAAGCCACTTTATTGCCACCTGGCAGCAAATTGGGGTGGCAGTAAAGTGGCTCCTAGCAGTATCACACTTCTGTACAGTAAAGTCATTGCCATGGTCTGAAGACAACTGACAATGCATCAGGGAAACAAACCTTCATCATATATATTCTGGTATGTTCGATCATAGAAGGGTTCTTTTTTTGCATATATCTTCAGGAAAATCTTTATCAATCTTATGATGAAAAGCATCTCCCATTCTTCATTGTGATCACAAATCTTTAAAAAAGTAAGGTGATTTTACACAATAGTTCCACAAAACAGATTGCAACGATTTTGGTATCAATGGATTCCTCCCATTCCCTAGTATTTAAATATAATATATTCAAATAGAAATTACTGCACGGAAACCCAAACCCTCACGATAACAGGGGAGGGCATGAAAGATACCAGGGAAACTGTTGTTTAAAATATAAATAATATATACAGAATCAGTCACTATATTGTCTTATGCAGGGGCTGCTGCCCCCAACCCATGTCCAAGAAAACAAAGAATCCTCAATGTATTCCTGGCAGGAGAGAGAGTCAAACAGCCTTGGTATCCTGCATGTCGGTTGTCGACTCAACCATGTTGTGAATACGAGGAGGATTCTTTGTGTTCCATTGTCGGGGCTAGTGGGTTGCAGGTGGCACAACCTTATTAGACAACGTGATTGCTTTTGTGTTTATCATTCATACTTTACCCCGCAGTTTCCCTGGTACCTTTCATGCCTTCCTCTGCTATCAGGGCCAAGATTGCTGCTAATGGGGGGGGGGGGGGTCTGCAAAACAATATCTATATATATGGAAACTGGAGAGAGAGAGGAATCCATTGATACCAAAATAGTCGCAATCCACTACGAGCCTCTATTTTGAAAAATATGCACAGCATCAGTCACTATATTGCCTAATACAGAGAGCTGTGTCTCCTGAGACCCCCCAATGGGGGCTGCCACAACCCAATCTCCGCCCAAGCAAATAGAGGATCCTCCACGTATTCACGGCAAGAGAAACTGTCAGACGGACTACACATCAGGTACTCTCGCATGTTGGTCATGCACTCTCTTTGTTGTGAATGCATGAAGGATATTTTATGTTCCATTGCAGGGGTTGAGGTGCGGCAACCTCAATGGGGGTCTCATCAATAGCAGCAGACAATATTGTGACTGATTATGTATATTTTATTCATATTTTACCCTGCAGTTTCCCTGGTACCTTACATGTCTTCCCCTGCTATCGGGGCCAAGATCGTCGCTAATATATTTGGATATTAGCGAGTGAGAGGAATCCATCGATACCAAAATAGTCGCGATCGGTTATATGGAACTATCGTGTAAAATTACCAAAGTAACTTCTTATTTCAAATTTCTGCTTAAGGTACGTCTGGTACTGCAAGTATACCATTGTACGTATACTGTAATTATTTGTATGTACTTCCTATATGATATAAGACAAAATCTATGAAATGCCAACTTAAAACATTTAGTCCCCATCACTCATGCCTTCAGACACATGGACACAATACCTCTTGTTATAAATACACTCTACCTAACTTCATATTATCTCCCGACAATATAATTTCGACATACTTCACATTAAAATCCAGATTGAACGAAAATATTAGTCATACCTTCGCCACAGTCGCCATGATTCACACCAAAACAAGGCGGAGACCGAAACTGTTTGTGAGTTTGGTGTCAGATAGGAAGAGTTTTATTTTAATCTGTGAAATGTTTATCCATGTAATCACGCTTATGTTACATGTGTGTAATTACGGTTTATTACGAATAACTATTTTTTTGGTTAGCATTAGTGTTTTAATTTGCTGATTATAAAGTTTTTCTAAGTCGAAGAAACCTATGTTCTAAGCAACAAATCTTACATTTCTACGCATTGTGAAAAGCTAAGACAAATAGTAAGGCTCTTTTCTTTGACTTTTAAAAACTATATTATACTGTCCATAGATAGAATTAGGAGCTGAAGAGAATCACAGATTTGGATTTAAATCATTTATCTGTGTTGGATGAAAAAGGGTGTGTAGGGGATACGGTGCACAAAATTCACGTGCTTTGTACCATATGTTTTATATTTTTAGATTTCACTATCAAAACAATATTTATGCTTCATAATTCGGTGCCTTAGATAATCTTAGCGCTGAAATATTTTTAGGCGACTAATAAGTTATAGAAACAATTTCGTTCTGAGATTCATCACTATTATTAGACTTACATATCGTATTACTGCTGAGATAATAATAGGATAATAATCATAACAGTCATGACAATATTAAAAATAATGATAATAACGACATTGAAACTACCACCACCACTGCCACCACTAATACTACTGGTGCTACTGCTGTTAATGATAGTAATGATGATAATAATGATAAAATTAGTAATAGTAATGATAATAATGATAATAATAATGATGATGATGGTGATTGTGGTGATGATAATGGTAATGATAATGATGATAATAATGATGATAATAATGATGATGATGATAATAATAATAATGATAATGATGATAATAATATAATATAATATAATAATAATAATAATAATAATAATAATAATAATAATAATAATAATAATAATAATAATAATAATAATAATAATAATAATAATAATAATAATAATAATAATAATAATAATAATAATAATAATAATAATAATAATAATGAAAAATTATGATAATTATAGAAATGATAAATAATAATAATAATAATAATAATAATAATAATAATAATAATAATAATAATATAATAAAATATAACAATCATCATTATGATAAATAATGATGATATTAATATTATATAATAATAATAATAATAATAATAATAATAATAATAATAATAATAATAATAATAATAATAACAATAACAATAACGATGATGATAATGATAACGATAATAATAATAATAATAATAATATAATATAATAATAATAATAATAATAATAATAATAATAATATATATAATAATAATAATAATAATAATATAATAATAATAATAATGATAATAATAATAATAATAGTATAATGATAACGATGATAATAATGATAATGATAGTAATAATAATCATCACAATAACAACAAAAATAATGGCAAAAACAATATTGATAATAACAATGAGGATAATGATATGAATCATGATAATAATAATAATAATAATAATAATAATAATAATAATAATAATAATAATAATAATAATAATAATAATAATGGTAATAATAATGGTAATAATAATAATATTAATAATAACAATAATAATAATAATGATGATAATAATAATAATAACGATGATAATATTGATAATGATAATAATAGTAGTAAAACAAATAATAATAATAACAACAACAAAATAATAATAATAATAGTAATAATAATTATAATAATTTAATAATAATGATGATGATAACAAAATCATAATAATGATGATAACAAAATCATGATAATGATGATAACAAGATAATGATGATAATACTGAAAACAAAAATGAATAATATAATAATAATAATAATAATGACAATGATAAGAATAAGAATATAAAAATAATGATGATAATAATAATGACAATGATGGAGCGTGACAAGGAGACAAGTCAGGAACACAACCAGTCTCTAAGCACGGTAGGGGAAGCCTGTGCCGAGGTCTATGTAAGTATTAATATAGCCTTTGACCAGTACCAAGGTCTACTTGCTGACAGTACCGCATCTAAGAGAAAACTTCCTGTGCGAAAGGCTGTAGTTTCAACCATTAACAGTGTTTCAAGTGATCGAACGCAAACAGTTGCTATTACGTTCGTAGTCGCAGTCGTTATGGCTGTGTATAACGGTTTTTCTCACTGTTTCGCCAATTTGTTTAAATTCGAGTGAAATGATTTTCGATTTTTTTTGCAGCAAATTTCAAGGGAAACTTTAAGCTCTGTAACAGCAAATTTGTTAATTAGGAACAAATATCATTGCATCAACTGTTTGACTCGACTCGACACTTTCATTATAATTACACTATAATTACCCAAGTTTGAAGTAATTAAAGTACCTTTAAGGTAACGTTTAAGGTAATACAGTGTTTAAGGTAATTCTAAAGTAATTCTTTTTTTCTTTGTATTTTGTATTGATAAGTATTATTGATGATCTAGTGTGATGACTTTCAACAGTCTTATTGTGAATTAGTATTTGAAAATGTGTTTTTTCTGTGTTGTGTAAAGTTAGGTATTATTGATGATATAGTGTGATAACACTTTGGATAGTGTTGCTGTCAGTTAGTATTTGAAAATGTATTTTTTCTTTGCATCTTGTAATGATAACTATTATTGATGATCTAGTGTGATAACACTTTCGAGAGTCTTACTGTCAGTTGAAAATATTTATATATATTTTTTGTTTCTATTTTGTAAAGATAAGTATAATCTATGTTGAAGAAGAAAAGGGTATTAATTTTCTTAATGATTCCATTTATGCTAAAGTTGTAATGTGGCCTATCAGTTTATAAAAAAAAAAAAAAAAATATCAGGACATATGCGTATTATGGTTAATTGCCACCTCAAACTAGACCTGTTCAGTTGTGCAATCGTCATTAAAAGTATTGTGAACAAAGAAAGTGCACTTTTGTTAAGATAAATCATATTTAAAAAAAGGTAATTTTCAGGGATATGCTCCAACAGTTCTAAGGTAATTTGCTGAAATCTAGGGTAAAAAAAATTGACATCTAAGGTAATGTTTATCTCTGCTTGTGAGTGCCCTGTTCATCTCATTTGCTTGGGTTCAATTACCCAATTATCTGATTATTTTTGTTAGCAATTTAGATTCCGGATATCACACCATTTTCCATCATCATAGTTCCTTGCGTCCAATTTACTTCGAGATTTAATCATTTCTGTCTTTTTCTTTCACATTTAAGCAATTCAGCGTTGTATAAATAGTTTTTTTTTTTTTTTTTTTTTTTTTTTACGAAAGTGGGCTGTGAGGTTTTCCACTCGACAACGCAGGTGAAGCCATCATATCAACAAACAAGACATGCTCTCTGCATCTGAAATGCCACGTAACATGCGGGCATTATGCGAGAGAAATGATCGTCCATATCCTTTCTAATTCTAGCATTTTAACCACTCGCTGCATGTACTCCTTCTATCGAATTCTTGTGAATAATTGTGCTCTAACAACCCTGAGTCAAGGCGAGGATTGCTGATTAAATAATAATGACAATGATAATTATAATAATTATAATCATAATGATGATGATAATAGTAATGATAAAATGATGATAATGTTAATGATGATAATAATTAATATGATAATAATAATATTGAAAATAATAACAATAGTGATAATAACAAAAATAACAATAATAACAAAATAATAATAACAAAAAATAACAATAATTTCAAATAATAACAACGACAATAATGATACTATTGATGATAATTACAACAATAATAATAATCGTAATCTTAATAATGATAACAATATCAATGATATAATAATCATCATTATAAGAATAATAACAGCAATAACAATAACGATAATACTAATAATGATGGTAATAATAACAATAACAATACGAACAATAATAATGATAACAAATACTTACTCTTCAAATAAGAACAAGCAATAAGACGGCATTGTCATCATCATTACTATAGAAGTATCTTTATTTTTTTTTTTATTATATTATTTTATATTATTATTATATTATTATTCGAAAGGCTTCTCTGGCTTCAGTTATGTTATCCTGTGGAAAACGTCACTGCCCAAGTTTTCGAATTTAAAATATCAATAATCATTTATTTGAAACACCTAAGTTACCCTATTTAGCCATTATCATCAAATTGTATATATGGGAGATCAGAAATATACCGTATTCATTGTGATAAATGTAGAAAAGGTATGAATGAGAATTAATATCTGCAGGAGATGCATTTAGCCGCTTTTAAATATCTTTGTCGGAAATACATGATAATAATATTGAAGTTCTTTATAATTGTTATTGTTATTATTGTTGTTGTTTTATTTCTTAGGAAGATATATTCGAAACCGGTCAGATACATTTCTTGTATTGTGAAGATATCTATTCTCATTCATACCATTTCTAAATCAGAAATGATTAAACACGGTTACAAATAAGATGCAAGGAACTGTAGAAATGGAAAATAACGTGTGTTATTCGCAATTTAAACTGTTGACAAGTGATCAATAACCTTCAATCTGCTAAGTAAAGCTAAACAAATAATACGAGGAAGCCCCAAGGCCAGGTAAACATATGAAGCTGTGAAATTTGCTTCTGTACTCCGTATATAGTCACAGGAAAGGAAAAATTGGCAACTCGTTCTTGATGGGAGGACTCCGATTCGTCTTTTTTTTCTAATCAGCTGATGTTAATACTTACGTTTACATGTCTTTGGGTGTTAAAAAATTAACTTACAATGTGTTATATTGCATTCCATCACTTTATTAATTTATTTTCCCAAAAGAAACAACGAATCTTGAGTCTGAACTACTTTTTTTTTTCCTGAGTTTGAAAGGGGATTTTTGGAATTTTGAAAGTTCACGGTCTTGATGTTGCAGAGTATGGAGTCAAACTCGAGCTTTGCTTTAGAGAATAAATCTAAAATCATATAATTTGAGAAAATAGATATGTACGGAGGAATCGAATGCAACTGTGTATGTGTTCGAAGCTGCTTTTCGCTCGAACAAATAAAGTGCTCTTCCTCTGGATTGGCACTGGCTTCTCCTTCCATATTCAGAGACTGGTAATGTTCGAAGTCTGAGGAGTCTTTCTTTATCACGTGTGTTTCAGCTTGTACCGAGTCATTTGTTTATTACTCTATAAGGATGTGAAACTATGAAGAAAATAGGTAGGTGTTTTTACCAGAAGCTTTAGATTACAGAAATATGCAAACAAGCTTATCCATATTTTTGCGTAGCTTCACACCATCGGTTTACACGTTTCTCGTCTTATTAAAGGCCCTATCACACTAGCACTTTTTCCGTCAATCTACGCGTTTCCGTCTGAATTTGAGACTTTCCGCAAGAATCGTTTGCAGACGGAACGCCTCCCAGACGAAGACGGTTACGACCGTTTCCATCTGACTAATTTCCGTCTTGATCTTGTGCTATTAATATATTAGATGGGATGACTGAATGTAAACATGAGCTAATATTTTAGAGCATTCGTATATACAATATACATCATCATATTTCTCTGAAATAACGTAATATGTATGAGAATGTTCGTGTGATTCTCGGGACCTCACACGATAGCGCCATGTTTGTTTACACGGGTCAGTCATACGGAAAGTTTATTCGGAAACGAAAAAAAATGACGGGAAAACTGATAGTGTGATTGCTCCTTATTTCATTAGTTTTCATACGCGCAATAACCACTGGTATAAGTGGGATAAAGGGGACTATTTTTATAGGATTGAAGTTTGGGTAAAATTGTTTTCACCTTAATTCACATTATTATCATTATTATGATTAATATGATTGTTATTATAAACGTGATTATCATTAATATTTATAATGATTATTATCATCTTTATCATAACCATTATCATCACTATCATTATCATTATTGTTATTTTATTAATATTATTGTTGTTATAAATGTCATTATTACTATTATCATTATTATTATCATATTCTTATTCTATTATCTTGATATTATTATTACTTCTATCATTATTATCGTTATTATGATCCTTAATATTTATTATTATTATTATCATACCTCATCATTATTGTTCTTATTGTATTATTATGATTTTTCTTATAAATAATATTGTTATCACAATTATTACTTTTATCTTTATTACCATTATTATCATCATCATCATCATCATCATCATCATCAGTCGCAGTATCATTATTATAATTATTAGTCATCATCATCATCATCATTATTATTGAATACATATGAAAATAACATTAAAAAAATTGCAGTTACAGACTAGTAATTCTCATCCAAGTATCTTATCACTCGAATAAACTGACTGGATGGTTCCATAGCATTCCAAATTATTCCCATCATCTCTTTCCCATAAAACCAGGGAACTAAACGAAACAACCATTTTATTAATAACAGCTGATAATAATAATTGATAATTATTTTGTTACATAATGCTATCAATATCACAAACAGTTACAGTGTTGCAACATAATAATGCTATCATAAGAAATCACAATACTAACAATATCAATATCACAAACAATTACAGTGTTGCAGCATAATAGTGCTATCACAAACAATCACAGTACTAACAGTATGTCTACCAACGCAGAAATGTATAATAACTGATAATTATTAAGTTACATAATAATGCTATCAATATCACAAACAATTAGTGTTGCAACATAATAATGGCTACTAACACTACTAACAATATCTCTACCAACGCATAAATGTACAAATGATAATTATTAAGTTACATAATAATGCTATCAGTGTCACAAACAATTAGTGTTGCAACATAATAATGCTATCACAATCACAACAACAAATACTAAGTCTCTCGTCAATGCTTTCCCATAATTCCAGGACCATCAGCATTTCCTCTGTCATTACCACGCGCCCTCCGTCTCCTCACCTCGGCCGCCCATCACACGACGAGGTGTCTTTGTCTTGGCTTCGCGTGCACGGGAGTCGAGCTGCAGCGGCTGACACACACACCGTCTCAGGCACCGAGGGAAGCGTGTGTGCGTGAGTGTACTGTACGGTTTGGAAGTGCACACGCACGCGTTCGGGTTACGCCTGCGTGTACGTGAGTGTGCGTGTATGCGTGTGTGTGAGTGTGTGTCAGTATGCCAGCTGTTCCATGCATTTCCCAGCGGAGGGGGAAGAAGAGGGGAAGTCTTGCTCGGGAATCATCATTGCGATACACATTTTTTTTTTCCTTATTTCCCCTCCCTGCTCATCTTCGCCGTATCGACCTCCTTCTCAGAAATTTCCGGCGCAGTTTTGCCATCGATTCGCGGCAGAAAGAGTCGATGTGAACAGGAGCTCCGGTTCGGTTTGAGAGCGCGCGGTTCGCCTGGGCGTTGCCGAGCCCCGGTCAACTTGGCAACAGTCCCGTGCAAGAGCGACATAAACACACTTGTCCGGCGTGTGCGTCCGCGGGGCCAAAGCATTTTCTTATTCCCTCCGGTTGATTCATAAATTATTTTCTCTGTGTAACAGCTCACGAGTTATTGATTTCTCAGTGTTTATTGATTCATTTTCTCGTTTTCTTTTTCCTTTTCTTCTTGTCCCTGTTCCTGGTAAATGTCAATTCTTTTATTTATTCATTCTTGTAGTTTCCCGCTGGCTGACGACCGGCGCCCAGCGTGCTCGCGCCTAAACATTTCCCGGAAATTAAAGTTACCAGTTAGTACCCTCACACACCGAAGGCAGCTCGGCGAAGTGCGCAGGGACCAAAAATGCACACTTTTAAAGGCACGTTGCTAAATGTTGAGCGTGCGTAAAGAGTTACGGGAAGAGGGAGGGATGTTGAAAGGGGGGGGGTGCCCGCAGGGATAGGGGAAAGAGTAGGATAGGGGCGGGGGGGGGGGGGGTAGAGGTTGTTCTCAATGAATCACCCGCCGTAACATTTGAGGGGGGGGGAGGGGGAGGGATATTGTTCCCTCTCTGACCAACCCCTCTAAATCGACACCGCATCTTTAGACAGCAGAACCGCCCTTTTGATGTCTCTTCTCCTCCGCCCAGGCTGAGGATTCCGGTCAGAGACGCGGTGGAAATAGCAGTGATTCGAGACTGCGCCCAAGAAGTGACGATGCACGCGATGCAGCGCCTGTGGAGTATGTGAAGCATCGTCGCCGAATCCCCAGGACAGACAGGGTCGTGGTGGCCGGGAGGGCGAGGGCGAGGGGAGGGCGGGCGGGGAGAGGACCGACAAGGGACAGAGGGAGGGAGAGGGAGGATGGGAGGGTCGATATTTTGGCGTCGGTCTGCGAGGTGTGTTATTCGCTTAGTCTTGCTTGTGGCTTCTCCACGGCGTGACCCCGCGTGTCGGCCTCGCATCGACGCGTCACTCGTGGCCGGGCTCAGGGCGTCCTCCTGCAACAAAGAGCAATAAAGAGCACTTCGCTCGCCCGTGAACGCTGTGTCTTATGCCTTCAATGTTAGTTTGTTAGAGAAGAGAAACTTAACCATTGTGCTTTTATTACATGACTCTTTAAACCCGTTCTCGTCCCTCCCGAAATTACTATGGAAATTCACGAGGCGAAGGCTGACTTCTCGGAGGATATTGTGCTCGCGTACTTGAAGCAATGCTCGGAGGCCGTCGGGAACCTGACGAGTGACCTGACAGTCGGCGACGGCGAGAGGTTCTGCAGCAGTGACGACGAGGATGCCGAGGCCGCGAAAGGCTCCTCGAGAACTGAAGAGCCAGAGGTGTTCAGCGTGAGAGTCAAAGATCGCGCCAAGTCCATTGACAGCGGTGTTTGTGTTGATCCGAGGAAAGAAAACGAGTTGCGCAAAGTCGAACAGACAGAAAACGGAGAGAGGAGGTGTAGGAGGAACCATAGCAAATCGAGGGAGAGTGAAAGCAGCTCCCAGGAAGACGGTGCTTTCTCCAGCCTGGGTGCTTGCAAGTGCCCCGACTTTGAAGACAGTGATGAGGATTGGGAAAAGCCAAAGTCTCTTGTGATGAGCTTCAAAAAGGGAGATTTATTTGCCGTAAGTGATGAGTGTGCTGTTTTTTAATACGAATGGATCTATCTACTAACTCCACCTGATTGTATAAATGTATTTCCCTCTTTTTCTCTCACCGTTTAACTGTGGGCTACGGAAGGCTGATACAAGTGCAACAGTCGTATAATTGCAGTAACATTCGTACAGTCCTTTCATAGTTCTACAATCACCTGATACAATCCTAATTCCAGGATATCGTCACTATTGCTATCGTTACATCCTAGGTCCTTTTAATACGGAATCATCACCATCTTTGTCAGTGATACCAGAAAAATTATCCAAATTGTTATAATTACTTGACTTTGTAATTATCTTTACTATTATTTCCACACTCTTTATAACAACAATGGTGATAATAGTGAAAATAATGTTAATGATGATAATCATAACAATAGTAATCATGATAATGATGATAATACCACTACTACTGATAATAAGAATGACATTGATAATGGCAATACCAATGAAAGCAATGATAATAACGTCAATAACAATAATAATAATGATAATGATGGTAATAATGATATGGATAATGGCAACAATAAAGATAACAATAATAAAGATAGTACCATTGCTACTACTACTACTACTACAACTGATAATGGTCATGATAATGCTGATATAAATGAAAATAGCAATAATGATGATAATGTTAATGATAGTAGTAGTTGTTAACAATTATAACAATGTTGATTATGAAGATGACAATAATGATGGTGACACAATAATGATAATAGTAATATTAATTATTAGAATAACAATAGTAATGATAAAAATGATAATGATAATAAAATTGGTAATGATGATGTCAATGATGAATTATAATAACGGTAATAATAATGAAAAAGGGTATTGACAATGATGATATTAACATTAAAAACAACAATAAATACTTGATAAAAATTATAATAATGGTATCAGCAATCGTAGTACTAGTGATGATGATATACATGAGCAAAAGAACATCATCACTATCATCACCATAAGGATCACCATCATTATCATCTCCATCTTCATAACACGACTGGCATCACCATAACCAACCATCTCATCACCATTATCACTGTCTCCATCTCCATCATCATCACCATTATCATCTTCACCATCACCATTAGACACCATTTCCATCATCCTTATCACAAATGTGGCATTTCGTACCGTAATTATTTCTATATCACACATTATGACTTTATGAATTATCAATATTTTTTTTTTCTTTTTTAACTGCCAAATTCGAAAGCAAAACCTCTGATTACCTAATGACAGTTTATATTAATTAAGGAAATGACATTTATAGTTGGGACCGCATGACACTTTCTGATATAGTAGTTTTACATATATGACTTGATATTTTCACTGGTATAGTAGGTTTACATATATGACATGACATTTTTACTGGTATAGAAGTTTTATACATGACATGACATTTTCTCTGACATAGCAGTTTACATATATGACATAATATTTTCACTGATATAGTACTTTTACACACATAACAAGGCATTTCCTCTGACATAGCAGTTTTACATATATAACATAACGATTTCACTATTATTGGCATTCCTCTGCTACGTTTTACATATATGACATAACGATTTCACTACTATAGTTATTTTACATATTTGATGTAACGTATTCACTATTATAGTGGTTTTACACATACGACATGACATTTCTGTTGTATAACATAAACTCTTAGGGATATGATGACATCTCAGCATATATGGTATAACGTCTCTATGGACTACGTGATTTCTCTGTATATAGGGCAATGGTATTTCCAAATATATGACACGTTATATTTAAGTGAATAACTCACTTCTATAACCATCTATAATTATCTTCTATGTAAATGGTGTAAAGAAATGAATATACAACACACATTTACATACATAACGTGACATTTCTATGCATATTTTTTACATAATATAGAATTCTACATTTATGATGTATAATGTTATCTCAGTAGGTCAGGATGGTAATACTGGTAATAATGATTATCGATGCTGTTTTTATTATCGTTATTGTTATCAATATTGTTGTTGGTGCTGTTGTTACTGTTATCATTGTTAGTATTATTATATTATCATTGTTACTGCTATTGTTTTTATTACTATTATTATTATTATTATTATTATTATTATATAGGGCATTATTGTTATTATCATCATTTACATTATTATCGTTATTGTTATACTTATCATAATTATTATGATTATTATCGTTATTGTTATTATTATTTTTATCATTATTATCGTTATTTGTTATTATTATTATTATCATTACTATCATTATTTTTCATTATTGTTATTATTATTATCATTTTCATTATTGTTATCATTATTATCATTTTCATTATTATTATCATCATCATATCACAAGTAGTAGCAGTCACTGTCATCAATAGACTTATAGTGTCCATATAATAATTGGTATTAACTTGTACACATTGATACTAAGGAATTTATAGCATCAATATCAGTCAGCTGATGTATTGCGCTGTAAGTACTGCCTTGAGTTTCCGATGATGCAATAACGGCAAATTTTTGCACCGTCATCAAAAGAAGGAGACTTTTGTTATTACTTTTGTTGTTGTGAAGCTTACAGTAAAAGGACTGGTGTTTTGTGTTTGTTTGTTTTTTCTATGAGTTGTTATTTATATTGCATGATTGCGATTTCAATACGTCGTTTTACTGTATATTGTTTACTCAAAGAAAACACATGATAATTGATGCAGTTGCAACCTCTAACTCCTCTTAACGCAGACACATGGAAAGACTTCAAAAAGACGTCTCCCACAAGATGACGCAATCTTACTCTAATTCCTCAAACGCCAAATTGCTCATGTTCCGGGTAGAATAACCGTAGAACGTCTGATCCAATGGTAAAAACGACTCTTTGACGGTTCATTCCACACGAGCGAGTGTCGTTTCTCGCGATGTAGTTCGATGTGTGAAGCTTTTGGTTTTCCTGCGGTTATTGAACGATGGGTGGAAGGCTGTGTTAAGCTGAGATTATGTCAGCTTAATATATCCCCAAGATTTTTATTAGTTGAGCGAAAAGTGTATTTTGAAGACTTTAAATGAGTTTAGGCAGGCCCGATGTCTGGGCAACGGAAAATGAGATGTGGTTCGGCTGGGGATTCGAACGGCAGGAGGGTCGAAGCTACACGATGGTAGGTGTGAGCTTTCACCCTCTCCCGTGTGTGGTGTTGTAAGGGTCTCGGGTGTTGTGTGGTGGTGCAGGTGATGCCTCTTTAATGTACGGTGAATGCAATTACAGGAGTAAGAGAGAAAGGAGTAAAAGTTTGTGTGTTCTGTTTTGCTGCACACAAAACAGAACGCACATACACACACACACACACACACACACACACACACACACACACACACACACACACACACACACACACACACACACACACACACACACACACACACACACAACACAGACACTCATACAACACACTAACACACACATGCAGGTGCACG